TATTGAAAGTGTTTTCTCATATTTCCCTGAAGACCAAGCCCTCCATGAAAAGAAGCAGTCAAACACACACCATAAGCATGGTCCAAGTATGAGCGTGCATTATAAAACAATATTTTTTTTATTTATTCCAAAGAAGAACATAACAAACCCAACAGATTTCTTTCTGCATTTTTAATGGCTCACTGCTGAGCATAAGCCACCTTGGGACAAGTATCACAGCAAAGATAATTTACTTTATCTTCACTGTGATGTAGCATAATGATGACTTGACCTGGTAAAGCTCTTCACATTGGGAAAAAAGTTTTTTTCCCAGCAGAGGATTTATTATCCCAAATTATAGGATATATTTCTGGTACAATTTTACTGCTTTAATTCTCATTTTCTCCTTGTAATCGCTTTTTCTGGGGGAAAACACCTGCCTGCACTGCCAGATAGGGAGGACTGTAACTGAAAAAGGAGTACCACTGGCCCCTCGATGATTAAAGTTAACTTTCTCTCAGTGTGACCACAGTAGCATGGACTTTGTGTGAAGCAGATGGACTTCCCAGTCTCTTGGGCTGAAGTTTAATCTTGGATGTTTTTGCTTTACTGTATTTTTGCTAGCAACAGCAAATGCTCACGGGACTGGATCTATGCCAAGTTGTAGTCCTGAAGTCAGAGTGAAGGTCTGAGCCTTGGATTTGTACTCAGTGACGGTTTTCACACCTGCAGCTACTAGAGAAAGCAGACCCAGTCTTCTGCAAAGCACAAAAATACAGGCTGAATATGAGGAGCTGATTCAATTCCTTATCCATTCATTATATACTAAATTGTACCAGGAGTAAAGAGTGAAGGATAATGCATCACCTGTTTTGAAGGACCCTGTGATTTAGGGAGAGCACAGCGCCTGGGCATGGTTGAGGAAGGCAGAATACAAACCCCCATCTCATGCAGAGATGAAGTCCAATGTGTTGTAGTGCCAATGGCCACATTTTAACCAAAAAAATAAACTGTGTTGCTAAAATCGGAGTATTCAGGCAATCTGGGACACAGACCACTAGCATAAAAAGTTGCCTTAAGGCTATGGTACTGACAGTAAGCATCTCAAGCAATGGTACACATCAACTGTATCTGAAAGTTTTCAGATGAACTCTGCCACCAACTGCACCCACAGGGTCCAGCCAGGTGTGAGCTCTGGGTCCCCAGTAGAGGATGTGTGAAGGAGAAGCCACCTGTTTTTCTTGCAGTGGGCTCCAGGAAACACAGGGCACTCCAGCAAATATTAGTTAAGGAAACATGTTCTGGTTCTGGATGCAGTGCCTGAATGTCAATAACTTTCATGACTGTTTCAGGGCATGGAAAAATGAAATTAACCTTTTTTGTCACACAATAATGAAACTCAGCTTCTATAGGACTTTGAGGGAGAAGGGCCACCCATTAAAGAAAAACTTACTGACTACCATACAAAACTACCAGCAGAATCTCCTAGCAGCCTCTAGCTACCTGGCACACCAGAGTTAAATCCCAAAGTGCCTTTAAATACCTAAACTTGTATTTTGACAGAATAGTCGATGACTACCCCAGATGTTCAGAGATACTATAAATCAAAGAAATAGGACTAACACCCAACAAGGTTTCAGCAGGAAAAAAAGAGTCTTGCACAACTTAACGCAGTCTTAGCGAGTCAAGAATGCCACTTTTTAAATGAAGGGATTTTTAAAGATTATGAGGGGATTTCTACCCCTCTGTCACTTTTGGCCTGCTTTCATTTTATAAAGCTTCCTTAGTCAAACTTCTAAAAATCTTGTCAACCTTTGACTATTTTTAGATAAACTCATTTAATTTGGTCGCTCTGATTTCCTGAAGGGAATGATTTACAAAAAGAGGCATTAGGATGTTGAGTCCATCAAAGCTGCATGTAATTAATATTGCATGCTGCTGGAAAGGCCAAATTAACACACAAAATTATACCAAAAGCCCAAGCCATTTTAGCGTAGTTCTGTTTTATTCTGGCAGCTGAATTCTACCCACTTTGCTAGACATTGCTGGGGCGAAGAGAGTCAGCTGGCAGTGAGCACTCTAAGAATCATAGGAAAATGGCCCTTCCAAGAGGGATGGGAAAGGTTTCCTGGATGGGAAAGGCCTGCTCCCTTACTGTGCAAGTGCTCCCCTACATGCAACGCCCTGCTACAGTCAGCTTCTGAGCCCCTGGTATCATGTACGTTAAACATTTAATTCCTAGTTTTCCTGGCTGACACAGAGTAGGACTCCAACTGCTCATGATTACAGAAATTAAACCCTTGACAGTGTTCTTTGGAATGGGTTTTGTTGATGTCTCACGTAGTCTGCTGTCAGACAAAGCTGTATTTTCCCCTTACATCACAATCACTTTAATTTTCATGGTTTTGACTTTTAAAGATGGCTTTCTTCATTTTTGTATGCATGCTTGATCTTCTCATTACACTGATTTCAGTACAAAAAAATGCTAATAAAAGAAAAAGGCCACCAACACAACTGCTTGAGCACTGCTGAATAGCTGGTGCACTCAGGATCACAAACAGCTGCTGCAATTATATTTAACTGCCCATTTTCTGCACTTGCTCACAATCAGATCTTACTTCAAGAACAGGTAGCAGAATTTCTGCTTTTGTAGTAAACAAGTGACATGATTAGAATGATGAGCGGGCTCCATCTCCATGTTTTAATCTTTCAGAGGTGTCTCTACCCAATTGGGAAGCTGAAATTCTCGCTTTCTGTCTACAATGAGCTGTGCTGTCACTCCATCCTGAACATGTGTATATGATGGGACTTTTCTAAACTAGTTATTTATGTAGCTTCTCATTTCCCCATGATTGTTTTATTGCATGATACAAATCCCCAAATGTGTGTTTCAAGCAATTTAAATCTTTATTTTCTCTGTACAAACACACAGTTTTCAATAAAGGTAAATGATTTCTTTTTTCTCTGACAGGAGTTAGTAATTTCCTCTGCTCCATTTTCTCCTTCCTAACAAACTTCTATTGATCAAAATGACTGCAGAAATGAAGTGACCAAACCAGGGTAAAAGATTTACAAGATTCATTAGAATGGTAAATTCTGCATTTAAAAATATAAATAGGAGCAACAGGAAGCAACAACTTTCAAAATTTATATTTTATGCATCATTAAAAACAGGCCATATGTGATTAAATAAGTATCTTGCGCCCTTATTTTAACTCTGCTGTCCTTCTAGAACTCATATGACTCCAAGCTCCTTAAGTACGTGACATGTATAGTCTGCAAACAGCACTGTGTAGGGGTTGAGAGCATCTGGAATCAAAGCAGTGTAAGAGAATCAGGCTTATTTATTGGGTGAGTGTGTGAATATAATTGATAAAGTAATAGAGCATTGTAATTACTTGAAGTTACTAAAGCTCACAGCCCTGTAAGTACCCAGAATGCACAGTCTACAAATGGCTTTTTAAGTTACTCAAGTGCCTTTGAGATCAAAGTAGCTTAAGAGAATCATATTGCTGGTGAGTGGGAGTCGGAGTAGGAGGCTTAACTAATTGCTAAGTAGTTTGAGCATTTTAAGTACTTCAGGGCACTGTAGCATGAGTATAAAGTAATACGACAAAATAACACCTGCGTGTTGGTGCTTGGCTTTCCAGAGCCAGACTAGTGATGAGAAACTCCGGTAATAGCAATTTTAGCAGGATGCCACCTAACCAAACAAATGAGTGATCCACTTGGACTGGTGTCTGGCAAGCACAATCTAAACAGGATGAAAAACCCATTTTGAGATTGAGGCTTCTGCCTAAAGCAGCTGGAAGGAAAACTTGGAGCTGAGCTCAGCACAGTTCTGCAAAGGCACCATGGTGTCAGGTACGGTCAGGGGAATAAGAGAACAAGAAAGTGTCACTGGGGATTAAGAAAAACTCCAAAATGGGGACATACTAGCTATAAACTGTCTTCTTGTACTACAAGGCTGCCCGAGGCTGGTTGGTAGGGCTGCAGATGTCTGTTGCAGCTCTCAGCCACGAGTGGTTAAAGTGCAGAAAGAGAGAGCAGTGTCTTTCAATAGAGCTAAGAAATAAAGGACACTGAGAGATGTGATACTGGGGGGAGCACAGTGAGCAGGCATGACACACCTGGAGTGGAAACATGTGGCTCGTCCATACAGACCTCCATACAGACTGCCAGTCCACTTGTTGCAGTGAATACTAACTCCGCAGTAAAATAATAAACTGTTCCTTTTGTTTCATCCTTTCTTTACAAGGTTGTGTTGTTAATTTCTATTTATTTAAACACCAAGAAACTGAGTATGATTCAAAGGAGTAGACATATAGCACATACAGGTGGCTATTTTGGAAGATCAGTGAAAAACATCAAAAGCGTCTCTTTTTTCTCTGTAACTGTAAAGACTCCCATGCATCAGGACAACTCTGAAAGATCTAAAAGCTGAAAGACATTTCAAAGTACTTTAAAAAAAAATGCTAGCGAAAGGTATTACCTATAACTAAGAAAGCCTCCAAATTATTAAGATACAAATATCAAAACTGAAACCCTTGCAACTGCACTGTCAAAATGTCTCTAACACTCTACAAACTATCTGGGTTTGCCTTTCCACGTGCATCATGTCCCTTTTAAAAATCAGCTTCTGTGACTATCCAGTACACTCTTAGCTAAGTAAGCCTCAAAAAGAAGTTAGCAGTGAAGGAAAAAGTAACAGTAACCAGGTCGCACCACTTGCAGAAACACTAAAAAGGTACAGCTAGTTCAATCAACATCAGCGCATTACAAAGGACAAAGCACAGCTAGAAAAATAACTGTCCTTTCAGCTAGTTAGCATTCAATCACTGAAGTGGAAAATTTTCTATCTCAACTTGATTTTAGGAGAAAGAAACGCTTCACTGAGTCATCCCATACCTTTGAGGACAAAGTTCAGTTTGCCTGCACAAACCCTAGTATGCAGAAGAAAGACATAGCGAGCTTTTTTCTTTTCCCAGTAGCATGTAACTTGTAAAGAAACACAAATATACCTGCTTCATCATAGGATACAGTCAATTTTTCCAGCATTTCTCGATCAATGGATAAAATCTGCTGTTCCAGGATGGTTTGGTAAGACAATACGCTGTTCTCCTTGTCCTTCTCATAGTCTTGAAGGTGTTGTTTCAGGACTTCAGGCAGGCGGGACTTCACATATTCTGCTGCCGACTAGGTAGGAAAGAGGCAAAGGTTTAATTAATACAGTTGCTTTTAAAAAGCTCTACGCATATCCATAGCACTTTTATTATTATTATTATTTTAATTTAAAGCATTCTCAAACATAACTCCTCACAGTAAGACACACTTACTGCTGCTAAATTCAGGGTGCAAAATCCACAGGTCATTTCCCTGCGAAAATGACCCCTGCCCACCCAAAACTTCCAGGGAGGCAGGGATATAATGGACCAAATCCCCTTTGAGGCATAACCCACTTTTCATCAGGGAGCTTATGGCAGCCCAGAAAGAGTTACTCATGCTGGATGGGACGCACATATACCTCAATAGCTCAACTTCTTCATTGTTAACACAGTTTGAAAATATAACTATGAAATATAATGTCTTTACTCTAAATTTTTAAGTATGAAGTGGAATCACTTCACCTGCCACTGATACAAACCAGGCTCAGACAGAGAGATAGAGGTGAACATTTAACAGCATTAAAAAGTTATATTATATACACACACATCCACACAGAAAAACCTTGTAAATTTTTTTCTGTGACTGCTCAAGGCCATAGGAAAACAGAAATTAACACAAGGTGGCATGGTTGTACTGATGTTATGGAGCCTTGTGCAAAACCATAAATGATAGTAACTAATAAGAATGTGTGTAAGAGTGTGTATCTCTGGATACAGACTGCTCTCTGCCCCCCAGAGCCTGCCCACCACTGGAACAGCTCCCTGCATTGGGGCTTGGGCTCAGACACCCTGGTGAGATGCAAACACAAACCAGCTTTCTTTTTTTTTAAGCAACTGCATCCCCCTCCTGCAAGTATTGCACTCCCACTATAAGAGGGACTAGAGAATTCCTCTTTCTGCCATGGTTTTGGGTTTGTTTTTTTTTTGCTTTCCATCTCTAGAAAAAAATGGAAGAGAAAAAGGTATCAAAGGCTGCTGACCACTGCTCTAGCTTTCTTGACAACCTCGAAACAAAAAAGAAAAGCAAATTATCACAAGGTGGTATTCATTCAGGTCTGGACCTGACCAGAAGTTACCTCCACTTAAAAACTGGCTCTTCCTAGGTTTATATTTAGTTTTCCAAAGTCAATTGCTGATTAAAGACCAGGTTGGACGAGGCCTTGGGTGACATGGTTTAGTGTGACGTGTCCCTGCCCATGGCAGGGGGGTTGGAACTTGATGATCTTGAGGTCCTTTCCAACCCTAACTATTCTATGACTCTAAATTGCAACCTTACATTGTGTTCCATTTTTCAGCAAGCTAAGCCCTGTGAGACAAATGAGACTACTCTAGAAAAACTAAAGGCACTCTTTACATGAGTACTGGGTATTTAATGTTACATTTTCACAGGGGTTTGCTTCCAAGGGAAGGCCAAAAGATACACTGTATACTTATTATTTTAATCCAAGTTCAGGCATTTGTGTTTAATGCTCCCTTCGAGAAGAGGTTTTACTCTGTGGCAAAGTACTTGCGTGCTCTCCCTCAGGCAGCAATTCTGAAGAGTAGGAAACAAATCATTTCATTTTCTGGAATGCATCTTGTGCCAGCTGAGTGAATATTTGTATACTACTCTGTAAACACACTACTCTGAAAAACACCTATCCCTTACCAAAGATCTTGCAGCCCAAGTGAAAATCAAGAGACAGATGGGTACAAACAGATGGAAAGCCATCGGGACCACCAGCCATGGCTAGCATGGCAGACAGCTGTCGCCAGCCACGTGCAACCCAATCAGCAAGTTTTTCTCTAGGCGTCAAGGCTGAGGATTACACCCATTTCAAGTGTGATCTCACAGGCGCACTCCCCCCCCCCCCCCCCAAATGAGAAGCAAAACCCAACACTCTTGCTTAATCCACTGCCTTTCACATTACATCTAGATGTTATTAAAGATTTAAACTGTAGAGCAATGGTGAAACTGATACAAACTCTTCTCCTTTTCTAGCAAGAAAGGTGATCAGCCTCATCTGAGTAATTACATCCCTATCTGCATTGCAGCAAGGAGACAGATAGTACTACACCCTATTCAGCACAAAAGTAATTTTATCTCAGGTTTAAAAAGTCACTTCCAGTACTTGGAATACTAAAAAAGAAAAAGTGTAAGGGTGTGAGTGCATGTGTTTATGCATGTGTTTGGCATTAAGGAAACCAAGAAGCTAACTGTAGTCATGAATAAAAATTAAACAATGTTTAAAAAAGAAAGACTTCCACCATTTCCATAGTTTTCCATCCTACCACAATTCTCACCACACAGACCACAATATTCAGCTTTTGAGCAGACTAGAAACTCTCTCCATGCACCTCCCTTATGGATTCTGGTGCATAAAGCAGCCCAGAGACCCATTTTCCAGGACGCAAATGAGTTGGGGTTGTTCAGCCTGGATAAGACAAGGCTCTGGGAAGACCTCAGAGCAGCCTCCCAGTACCTAAAGGGGCAGACAAGAAAACTGGAGACGGACATTTTACAAGGGCATGTCAGGATAGGACAAGAATGAATGGCTTTAAACTGAAAGAGGATGGAGTTAGAGATATGAGGAAGTTGTTTTTCCCTGTAAGGGTGGTGAGACACTGGCACAGGGTGCCCAGGGAACCTGTGGCTGTCCAATCCCTGGCAGTGTTCAAGGCCAGGCTGGACGGGGCTCGGAGCAACCTGGTCTAGTGGAAGGTGTCACTGCCCGTGGAAGGTGTCATTGCCCATGGCAGGGGGCTTGGAACTTGATGATCTTTAAGGTCGCTTCCAACCCAAACCACTGCATGATTCTATGCCGCTCACCGCAGCTTGCCAGCAGAGCATCCCACCACTCCAGCCAGTGCTGGAGACCCCTCACTCTCCTGAAATATGTTTTCATTAAAATACGTATTTGTCTCACAGGCCAAAGTTAAGGGAAAAAAACCCTACTTTGAGTCTTCAAAATAACTTTATCCTCTTTTCCTCTGTGTGGTCCCTCTTCCTCCTGCAGGAAGGAATTACAGACACAGCTGCTCCTGGAGAACATTTGACCTCAGCTATTATAGGTACAACTAATTGTACAACATTTGCTGGTCAGTCTTCCTTATCACCACACTTATGAAAAAGTAATTTGAAGCTGTAGGCACTGCAGCAATGAGAAGCATGAAGAAACAGTGGTCCTGCTCAGGCAGGCACCTACTCACAGACCATGGTCACAAACCAGCAACATGACAGAAACACTCACTGCTGAGCTGTTACCTCTCTCCATCACAATAACCTCCTATTTTCTGGCATGAATTTACCCATTTCTCTTTTAAAATTGAAACTGAAGCACCCCCCATGAATCTGTTTTCAGTCTGAAGCACCCTTGTCCAAACTGAATAAAGGATTGACTTTAAAACCTTAACTGACTTTAGGTTATTTCATCCTACCATGGAAAACCAATTTCATTTATATAGAATAAATTTCAAACTATCTAAATACAATGAAATATACTTGCAGAACTTACAAAATATTCACATTATTCACTAAAAAAAAACCCAAACCCTACTTCAAAACCACATCAGGAAATGCTGAAAAATCCCTCACTGTGCAATAACCTGAACCTCAAATGCAGACAGTATCCTTCTGTAACTACCAAACTTGCCCTCATTTTTTGATTGATGAAAAACACATATCCAAAGTAAATTTTACATTTATATATTATGCTACTTGTCTGCTAAAATTTGCTCTGCTTTCCTGAAGTGTATCCTGTATCTGTAGGGAAGTAAAGGTCTAAAATGATTAATTAAAGGCTTCTTTATGAAGCTACTTCAAAAGTCAAGCAGTGGCTTCACAAAGCAGTCTCTTTACAGAGTTATATTGGGTAATTTCACAAAGGTTTTCAACACAGAAAGTAGAGTTATTTGGCGTGTCAAAAATGACAACAGCCATAAGGGACAGCTGCATCCTTGCTCACCCTCAACATGTTCTGCAGGTTCAGCAGCTCAATACATCCCATAGCCTGGCTTCACCAACCCACTTGACCTTTAAAATTCAGGTTTTCACCACAGCAAACACAGGGAACTTGCATATCTCTGGCACCTGAAACACTCAAGCAGGTCTAATTTAGATCACGTTATTGGCTAAGGAACAAGTGGCAACGGAATCTCCAAGTGCCAACAGAATCTGCTCACCATTCACCTCACTGTTGGGTCAGACAGGAGGAGCAGTATGGCTGGCTCTCAAATTATGTGGCTCTCCATGCAAGTGCTTGCACACAGAGAAGATAGACCTGCATGGGCACATGTATAGACATGCAAGAAGTGACCCGAGTACTCTACAACAAAATGCATTAAGTAAGATTAAAGAATTAAACTTGGCTAGGGATGTTAAGGATAACAGGAAGGGATTCTACAGGTACGTAGCAAAGAAAAACCAGACTAGGGACAACGTAGGACCCCTCAGGAAGCTCTCGGGAGAACTGGCTACACAGGATTTGGAGAAGGCTGAGGTTCTGAATGACTTCTTTGCCCCAGTCTTCACTGGCAAAGGCTCTGACCAAACCACCCAAGTCTTGGAAGGTAGATGCAGGGACTGTGAGAATGAGGACCTTGGGCCCACTGTAGGAGAGGATCTGGTTTGAGACCATCTTAAAAATCTGAATGTGCACAAGTCCATGGGACCTGATGAAATCCATCTGCGGTCCTAAAGGAGCTGGGAAATGTCCATCTGTCCATCATATTTGAGAAATCATGGCTGTCAGGTGAAGTTCCCAACTACTGGAAAAAGGGAAATATAACCCCCATTTTCAAGAAGGGATAAAACGGATGACCCAGGGAATTACAGACCAGTCAGTCTCACCTCTGCGCCTGGCAAAATCTTGGAGCAGATTCTCCTGGAAAGCATGCTAAGGCACATGAAAATCAACAAGGTGCTTGGTGACAGCCAGCACGGCTTCACTAAGGGGAAATCCTGCCTGACCAATTTGGTGGCCTTCTATGATGGGGCTACAGAACTGATGGACAGGGGTAAGGCAGTTGATGTCACCTACCTGGACTTGTGCA